GCAACACAATAAGGTCATATAAGTGCCGAAGATTAGAGTTACAAGAGAAACAAAAACAAAAAAGGAGAGATAAGGACGATAGATGTTTGATAGGAAAGAAGAAGCAAACCCCATCAGAGCACCCGCCAACCACTCGTGGGAAAAATAAGATTTGGTTTTTGGCTGTTTAAATGGAGAGAAGCACATCAACTCAGTAATAGACATTTAGAGAAGGGGAATAAGCAAGACTGACAGACATAAACATCAGGTGGAAAAGAAAAGAAGTTGACCCTATCAGTGGCAACCTCCAAACATCTGCAGTTAACAGTTTAGTTTTATTAAGAGTTTTACGGCACTTGTAACACAATTAGGTCATAGAAGTGCCGAAGATTGGAGGTGTTACAAGAGAGTAACAATCACAAAAAAGGACGGAAGATAAAGACGATAGGTGTTTGATAGGAAAGAGGGAGCAAACCACATCAGAGCACCCGCCTACCAACCACCGCAGCTATCAATAGACACTATTCATTATAGTCTAGTACATACTATGCCGGGTAATAGCTTAATCGCGATGCCGGGTAATAGCTTAATCGCGTCAATCTGAGCACAGCCACATTTCATAAAGGAACTGATAAAGACAAGAACAACACTAAGTTAAAGGACAAGAAGCAGACCAAAAAAGAATGCCCATTAGAGCAGCTGTGCTACATTTTCTATAAATAACATGTAAAATAAGTATGGTATTTACCACGCACACGGTCAAAACAAAGAATAAAGTTTGTGAAGACAAGCAGTACATTAACCACCATCAAAGTAAGATTTAGTCCAACACACACACACACACACACACACACACACACACACACACACACACACACACACACACACACACACACACACACACACACACACACACACACATACCCGTTCTATCAAACCTGCCATGATGACCACCATGATGACCACCAGGAGAAAATGATGTCCAGAGAGGATAAAGGAAACTTGTTTCTTCTAGGTCAAAAACTAAGAATCAGTGCAGAAACATATAATTTTACTTTTAGTTACAGCATTTTCAACAACATATACTCAAATTTTACTTTGAACACAATAAATATTTCAGGGAGGCTCTGAAGAATTCAGAAGCCCCTTTGACTGGAACCTCTCACTAAAGCTGAGTACTGCTTCCAAACAGAAGAGACCAAAAACCAAAAAAAAAAAACAGGAGTGAAGGGCACTAACAACTTGCTCATATGACCATATGTGAGACGTGCTGAAAAAATGAGGGAGTAACTTATCGCATTTTAGCCCAATGGAAATAGAATAGTCAAACTGAAGGGTGGAGTTTGAATAGTTTAAAAGTCTGAAATAATGAAAGACATGTTAAACTTACAAATTCGACCCCAGTGTTGATTTTCAGCCCATATCTCCATTCATGGCTTGCCAGAAGTAACTCATCATGTCAGCACACCTCACATATGTAGTTGTGAGTGCCGTAAACCTCTTACTATAAACTTCAGAGAGTACTCACTAGTCCCATAGCTGCTTTGTGAGTGGGCGAGATGGACAAGTCGGCAGCTTTGATCTCCCACACCTGCACGGGCTCAAACCAGTGGTCCGGCTCATGGGCCGAGTCCCAGGCGTAGTAGGACTTGGGGGCGGGCGTCACGTTGTCTTTGAAGAAGGTGTGGTGCTTCTCCAGGTCGTCATCCGAGAATCCAGTACCAATCTGGACAGAAGACGGAACGGATTCATATCACGGATTAACACTTACAGTACCGAACGCTCATAAAGTGAAATACCCTCAAGTACCACACCAATTTAGAATGCTGAAGCCGAGGTAAAATTTAAAAAAATAATTTTGTTTAAAATCTTGGCAGCCCAAGAAACACGCTTCAAATATTCATAGAGGCTCATCAACCATTCAGTTATCATAGAGTGACTTCCTTTGGTATTTACTTCAGCGCACTGCGTCCGTTCGTTGTTTACTTATGTATAGTGTGCCCGGTTGTGTTGGCAACTAAAGTTGTCAGCCAGAGGTAGTGAGCGCGTACTACGGCCTGGTGACTTAAGTAGACGACGGTACAGTAAAAGTTAACAAGAAGCTTGGAGAACATCCAAGGGTTAAGGGCACAAATTGTAATTTTGACAGTTTGAGCCAAAGACCATCAACACGCCAGCTACCATTCTACAAAAATAAATAATCTTCAAGTTTCACT